GCCACTGTGGTGGTCACAGACGCCATGAGGGGAGAGGCCAATGGGCATTGGACTTCACCCCCACAGGCAACTGCCCACAGGCCAGTGTTGCCCGTCCGGCACCGCGAGGAGGTAGGGCGGTTGTTTTGCCGGACCTTAACCCACCACCACATGGACACACACCCACGATAGTCTATTTCCATGTTATCTCAACGTAAATCGATTCCAATAGCTTAATCAACTATAAATCGATTCCCATGTTATCCCAATAGAAATCGACTCTATAAATCCACTACAAGAATCGATTCCTAATGTTATCCCATTAAGAATCGACGCAAGTGGAGTTAATCGAACCGGGAATCGAATTTCTCTGCACCACGTGACTTGAGAAACTGAAACACGTGGGTCCCAGGTGGGTGTCATGGCGGTGCGAGAACTCTTCTCGAGACTTGGCCTACTCTTCCTCTCCCTCCTCGTCACGTGCACACGCGGTGAGCACAGCCAGAGGTGGTCGATACATCGGGTACCAGGTTGTGGTGGACGTGGGGAGCGGTGGTGCAGTGGTTAGCGCACTGTGTGTGTGTGGGGAGTGGTGGCACAGTGGTTAGCGCACTGTGTGTGGGGGGAGCGGTGGTGCAGTGGTTAGCGCACTGTGTGTGTGTGTGGGGAGTGGTGGTACAGTGGTTAGCGCACTGTGTGTGTGGGGGGAGTGGTGGTACAGTGGTTAGCGCACTGTGTGTGGGGGTGGGAGTGGTGGTGCAGTGGTTAGCGCACTGTGTGTGTGTGTGGGGAGCGGTGGTGCAGTGGTTAGCGCACTGTGTGTGTGGGGGGAGCGGTGGTGCAGTGGTTAGCGCACTGTGTGTGTGGTGGGGAGTAGTGGTACAGTGGTTAGCGCAGTGTGTGTGTGTGGGAGCGGTGGTGCAGTGGTTAGCGCAGTGTGTGTGTGAGTGGGGAGTGGTGGTGCAGTGGTTAGCGCACTTTGTGTGGGGAGTGGTGGTGCAGTGGTTAGCGCACTGTGTGTGTGAGTGGGGAGTGGTGGTGGTGCAGTGGTTAGCGCACTTTGTGTGGGGAGTGGTGGTGCAGTGGTTAGCGCACTGTGTGTGTGTGGGGAGCGGTGGGGCAGTGGTTAGCACACTGTGTGTGTGGGGGGGGAGCGGTGGTGCAGTGGTTAGCGCACTGTGTGTGTGTGGGGAGCGGTGGTGCAGTGGTTAGCGCACTTTGTGTGTGTGTGTGGGGAGCGGTGGTGCAGTGGTTAGTGCACTTTGTGTGTGTGTGGGAGTGGTGGTGCAGTGGTTAGCGCACTGTTTGTGTTGTGGGGAGTGGTGGTGCAGTGGTTAGCGCAGTGTGGGGAGCGGTGGTGCAGTGGTTAGCACACTGTGTGGGGAGCGGTGGTGCAGTGGTTAGCACACTGTGTGTGTGTGTGTGGGGAGCGGTGGTGCAGTGGTTAGCGCACTGTGTGTGTGTGGGGAGCGGTGGTGCAGTGGTTAGCGCACTGTGTGTGTGTGAGTGGGGAGCGGTGGTGCAGTGGTTAGTGCACTTTGTGTGTGTGGGGAGTGGTGGTGCAGTGGTTAGCGCACTGTGTGTGAGTGGGGAGTGGTGGTGCAGTGGTTAGCGCAGTGTGGGGAGCGGTGGTGCAGTGGTTAGCACAGTGTGTGGGGAGCGGTGGTGCAGTGGTTAGCACACTGTGTGTGTGTGTGTGGGGAGCGGTGGTGCAGTGGTTAGCGCACTGTGTGTGTGTGGGGAGCGGTGGTGCAGTGGTTAGCGCACTGTGTGTGTGAGTGGGGAGCGGTGGTGCAGTGGTTAGCGCACTGTGTGTGTGTGGAGTGGTGGTGCAGTGGTTAGCGCACTGTGTGTGTGTGTGGGGGGGAGCGGTGGTGCAGTGGTTAGCGCACTGTGTGGGGGTGGGAGTGGTGGTGCAGTGGTTAGCGCACTGTGTGTGTGTGAGTGGGGAGCGGTGGTGCAGTGGTTAGCGCACTGTGTGTGTGTGTGGAGTGGTGGTGCAGTGGTTAGCGCACTGTGTGTGTGTGGGGAGCGGTGGTGCAGTGGTTAGCGCACTGTGTGTGTGGGGAGCGGTGGTGCAGTGGTTAGCGCACTGTGTGTGTGAGTGGTGGTGCAGTGGTTAGCGCACTGTGTGTGTGTTGGGAGCAGTGGTGCAGTGGTTAGTGCTCTGTATGTGTGTGTGTGGGGAGCGGTGGTGCAGTGGTTAGCGCACTGTATGTGTGTGTGGGGGAGTGGTGGTGCAGTGGTTAGCGCACTGTGGTGTGAGTGGTGGTGCAGTGGTTAGCGCACTGTGTGTGTGTGTGTGTTGGGAGCGGTGGTGCAGTGGTTAGCGCACTGTATGTGTGTGTGTGGGGAGCGGTGGTGCAGTGGTTAGCACACTGTATGTGTGTGTGTGGGGAGTGGTGGTGCAGTGGTTAGCGCACTGTGTGTGGGGAGTGGTGGGGCAGTGGTTAGCGCAGTGTGGGGAGCGGTGGTGCAGTGGTTAGCGCACACCGAGTGCCGTTTTCCCATCTCCCCAGCTGCGACTCCCCCTCTGAATGTCCGCGTGGAGTCTCGCGACCTGCTGACGCAACTCCGCTGGGACCACGACGCTGAAGTGGACGTCGCCACCAGCAGCAGCTCAAAGCTCCTGGACGTTACCTACAGGGTGGACAGCAAACTGTGAGATGCTCGCTCACTCATCCACTCGCTCACTCACTCACTCACCCACTCGCTCACCCACTCACCCACTCGCTCCACCCCCACTCACTCATCCACTCGCTCAACCACTCACTCAACCACCCATCCACTCACCCACCCACCCACTCACCCACCCACTCACTCACTCACCCACCCACTCACTCACTCACCCACCCACTCACTCACCCACCCACCCACTCACCCACCCACCCACCCACCCACTCACTCACTCACTCACCCACCCACCCACCCACTCACACCCACCCACCACTCACTCACCACCCACCCACTCACCCACCCACCCACTCACCCACCCACCCACCCACTCACTCACCCACCCACTCACTCACTCACCACCCACCCACCCACTCACCCACTCACCCACCCACTCCTCACCACCACCTCCTCCTCCCCGTGTCTCTGTCTGTGCAGCTATGCACGAGCCCACTGGCGGACCGTCTGCGCTGCCACCACAGAGACACGGTGCGATGTCTCCTCAGCGCTGCGACATCCTGGCGACCGCTATCAACTTCGCGTCAGATCCACCGTCTTATCACCACCAACACCACCATCACCACCATCACCACCATCATCACCACCACCATCACCACCATCATCGTCACCCTGGGTCGTGGTTGAGGTGTTACCCTTGAAGACAAGTGAGTGGCATTGTCTATGTCTCTGTGTGTGTCTCTGTGTCTGTGTGTGAGTGTCTCACTCTCTGTGTCTCTGTGTGAGTTTCTCTGTGTGAGTGTCTCTGTGTGTGAGTGTCTCTGTGTGTGAGTGTCTCTGTGTGTGTCTCTGTGTCTGTGTGTGAGTGTCTCACTCTCTGTGTCTCTGTGGAGTTTCTCTGTGTGAGTTTATCTGTGTGAGTGTCTCTGTGTGTGAGTGTCTCTGTGTGTGAGTGTCTCTGTGTGTGTCTCTGTGTCTGTGTGTGAGTATCTCACTCTCTGTGTCTGTGTGTGTCTTTGTGATCTGTGTGAGTGTCTGTGTGAGTGTCTCTGTGTGTGAGTGTCTCTGTGTGTGTGTCTCTGTGTCTGTGTGTGAGTGTCTCACTCTCTGTGTCTCTGTGTGAGTTTCTCTGTGTGAGTGTCTCTGTGTGTGAGTGTCTCTGTGTGTGAGTGTCTCTGTGTGTGTCTCTGTGTCTGTGTGTGAGTGTCTCACTCTCTGTGTCTCTGTGTGAGTTTCTCTGTGTGAGTGTCTCTGTGTGTGAGTGTCTCTGTGTGTGAGTGTCTCTGTGTGTGTCTCTGTGTCTGTGTGTGAGTGTCTCACTCTCTGTGTCTCTGTGTGAGTTTATCTGTGTGAGTGTCTCTGTGTGTGAGTGTCTCTGTGTGTGAGTGTCTCTGTGTGTGTCTCTGTGTCTGTGTGTGAGTGTCTCACTCTCTGTGTCTCTGTGTGAGTTTCTCTGTGTGAGTGTCTCTGTGTGTGAGTGTCTCTGTGTGCGTGTGTGTCTCTGTGTGTGTGTCTCTGTGTGTGTGTCTCTGTGTGTGTGTGTCTGTGTGTGAGTGTCTCTGTGTGTCTCTGTCTGTGTGTCTCTGTGTGTCTCTGTGTGTGTGTCTCTGTGTGTGAGTGTCTCTTTGTGTGAGTGTCTCTGTGTGTGTCTGTGTGTGTGTCTGTGTGAGTGTGTCTCTCTGTGTGTGTGTCTGTGTGTGAGTGTCTCTCTGTGTGTGTGTCTGTGTGTGAGTGTCTCTTTGTGTGTGTGTCTGTGTGGTGTCTCTGTGTGTGTCTCTTTGTGTGAGTGTCTTTGTGTGTCTGTGTGTGTGTCTGTGTGAGTGTGTCTCTCTGTGTGTGAGTGTCTCTTTGTGTGAGTGTCTCTGTGTGTGTCCCTGTGTGTGTCTGTGTGTGTCTCTGTGTGTGTGTATGTGTGTTTTGTGTGAGTGTCTCTGTGTGTGTCTCTGTGTGTCTCTGTGTGTGAGTGTCTGTGTGTGTGTTGTGTGTGTGTCTCTGTGTGTGTGTGTCTGTGTGTGAGTGTCTCTGTGTGTGTGTCTGTGTGTGAGTGTCTCTGTGTGTGTGTGTGTCTGTGTGTGTGTCTGTGGTGTGTCTGTGTGTGTGTCTGTGTGTGTCTGTGTGTCTGTGTGTGTCTCAGCCGTGCTGAGTGCTCCGACTGTCACCTTGATGCTCCACAAGGATGCGACGCTGGAGGAGGGTGGTGAGGAGGGTGGTGAGGAGGGTGGTGAGGAGGGTGGTGAGGAGGGTGGTGAGGAGGGTGGTGACGAGGGTGGTGACGAGGAGGAGGAGTGTGGTAGTGAGCGTGAGGACTACAAACATGACGACAAGATGGCTACGAGAATGACGACGACGATGACGGTGATGGCGGCGATGACGGTGATGGCGGTGGCGACGAGGGAGAGCGGTGGGAGCTGTCCGTGCGGGTCTCCATGAGGAGCGAGTGGAAGAGGAGGATGGCGCAGAGTGACGTGCTGTACCATCTACAAGCCGAGGTCTCCACAAGGAGGGGTGTGACTAGCACGGTGAGAGTGGGTGGGTGGGTGGTGGGTGGGGGGTGGGTGAGGGGTGTGTGGGTGGGTGAGTGGGTGGGTGGGTGGGTGGGTGAGTGGGTGGGTGGGTGGGTGAGTGGGTGGGTGGGTGAGTGGGTGGGTGAGTGGGTGGGTGAGTGGGTGTGTGGGTGGGTGAGGGGTGTGGGGTGGGTGTGTGGTGAGGGGTGGGTGGGTGAGTGGGTGGGTGGGTGAGTGGGTGGGTGGGTGAGTGGGTGGGTGAGTGGGTGTGTGGGTGGGTGAGTGGGTGAGTGGGTGTGTGGGTAGGTGAGTGGGTGGGTGGGTGGTGTGTGTGTGGTGGGTGGGTGAGTGGGTGGGGGGTGGGTGGGTGGGTGAGTGGGTGGGTGGGTGGGTGAGTGGGTGGGTGGGTGGGGAGTGGGTGGGTGAGTGGGGGTGGGTGAGGGGTGAGGGGGTGAGTGGGTGTGTGGGGGTGGGGAGTGGGTGGGTGAGTGGGTGGGTGTGTGGGGTGGGTGGGTGGGTGAGTGGGTGGGTGGATGAGTGGGTGGGTTGGTGAGTGGGTGGGTGAGTGAGTGGGTGAGTGGGTGGATGAGTGAGTGGGTGGGTGGTGGGTGGGGGGTGAGTGGGTGAGTGGGTGGGTTGGTGAGTGGGTGGGTGGGTGGGTGGGTTGGTGAGTGGGTGGGTGGGGGGGTGAGTGAGTGGGTGGGTGGGTGGTGAGTGGGTGGGGCGGGTGGGTGGGAGAGTGAGTGGGTGAGTGGGTGGGTGGTGATGCTACTATACTGATGGACGATGCTATTGCTGCTGCTGCTACTGAATGTCCAGAAATGGTTGAGTTCTGTCAGCTTCCACTTCCATGCTGAACTGGATGGATGGGTTTTGCGAGTTGAGATGATTTAGAAACGCGCTCAGTCTATCTTTGCCGTGTGGCCAGACCACCAACGTGTCATCCACGTAACCCGGCACACTGAGACCATCTGCTTGCTCCTGCCAGGAGCGCTTTGTGGGATGTCGCTACCGCCACGCGCTGCCTCAGCCTGCAGGCGCTGCTGAGTACTGCGTCCGCGTGAGAGTCGCGGCTCGCTACCCGCGGTGGAAGACAGGGGAGTGGTCTCCACTGTCGTGTGTCTCCGTCCCTCCACCACACAGCGCCGTGGGTGAGTGGGTGGGTGGGTGAGTGGGTGGGTGGGTGAGTGGGTGAGTGAGTGGGATGGTGAGTGAGTGGGTGGGTGGGTGAGTGAGTGGGTGGTGAGTTAGTTGGTGGGTGAGAGAGTGGGTGAATGAGTGGGTGAGTGAGTGAGTGGGTTGGTGGGTGAGTGAGTTGGTGGGTGGGTGGGTGAATGAGTGAGTGAGTGGGTGGGTGAGTGGTGGGTGAGTAGGTGGGTGGGTGGTGGGTGGGTGAGTGAGTGAGTGAGTGGGTGGGTGAGTGGGTGAGTGGGTGGGTGGGTGGGTGAGTGAGTGGGTGAGTGAGTGGGGGGTGAGCGAGTGATTTGGTAAGTAGTTGAGTGAGTGGGTGGGTTAGTGGGTGGGTGAGTAGTTGACTGAGTGGGTGGTTGAGTGAGTGGGTGCGTGAGTGAGTGGGTGGGTGAGTAGGTGGGGGGTGAGTGAGTGGGTGGGTGAGTGGGTGGGTGAGTGGGTGGGTGAGCGAGTGATTTGGTAAGTAGTTGAGTGAGTGGGTGGTTTAGTGGGTGGGTGAGTAGTTGACTGAGTGGGTGGTTGAGTGAGTTGGTGCGTGAGTGATTGAGTGGGTGAGTGGGTGGGTGGGTGAGTGAGTGGGGGGTGAGGGGTGGGTGGGTGAGTGGGTGGTGAGCGAGTGATTTGGTAAGTAGTTGAGTGATTGAGTGGGTGAGTGGGTGGGTGAGTGGCGCACCCATTTAGCCCTCTCTATCCGGCTGAACAAAAGCTGTTCAGACATGCGGTGGCTGGGCATGCAGGCTACATGGCCCAGCCAACGCAGCCTTGCCTGCCGGAGGAGCTCACCAATGGGACTTTGCCCAGATCTTTCTGGGATTTGTGAGCTCCTCACACAATCCAGCCTGCAGGTTAAACCCAGGATGGATCGTAGACAGGCCAGCCTAAATGTTTCTAACCGGCGAATATGTTCCATTAGGGGGGTCCACTTTTCGCATGCGTAGAGAAGGGAGGGAATGACCGTGGCCGAGAAGACCTGAAGATTCGTGCGGAGTGACAAACCAGGTAGCTTCCACACAGTATTATGTAACCGATGAAAAGGTAATGCCGCTCGACTGATTCGGAGTGAGACCTCAGCCAGTCATGAGCACACTGCCCAGGTATGGGAAACTCCACTCTCTCCACAACTCCTCAATCACCAATTGGGAGTTGTGGGGGTGGAGTGTCCAATGGTACAAAATACCCAGGCAGGTGCTTAGTTTTGGTGGGGCTGATGGTAAGGCCCCACCTCTTAGTGGCACGCTCCAGTCTCAGCAGCAGCGTCTCCAACTCTTCTGAATGAGCAGCTATTACCAAATCATCAGCATACGCAACATGGTTGAGCGATAGGGAGCCATCCCTTGACCGCACCCGGGCATCGATCAGCCTCCCATTGTATCTGTAACAGATGGAAATTCCTCTGGTACAGCTATTGAAGGCTTCACGAACTATGTGGTTAAAATAAATGTTAAATAATGTGGGAGCCAGAGGACATCCCTGTCGCACCCCAAGGTGTACAGGGAAAGGCTCTGACTCCCGGCCACGTAGTTTTATCCGGGCCCGCTCACCATCATGAAGGTCCTTAATGATCGTGAGCAGAGGGTCAGGGACTCCGAAAGCACGAAAAACTGCCAGAGCCCAGTCCTACTGATGGTATCATAGGCCTTGACCAGGTCAATAAAGCAGAGATGTAGGTCTTGTTGGAATTCCCTACACCTCTGCTGTAGCAGACGGACAGAAAATATGGCATCTGTGCAGGACCGCCCTTTCCTGAAACCGCATTGGGGCTCCGCAAGCCTCTCCTCAGCGTGCCTGGCAAGGCGGTGTTGAACAACAACACACAGACAGGTACACACAGACACACACAGACACACACAGACAAATATCCCCGTGTAGCCTTAACAGACTGTTGGGGCAAGTGCTGTTAGCGAGCACCTATGAAGGTCAGAACTTTACACGAG